AAGGGAGGAGCAGGACCGGTAGAGGGCGGGAGACCAAGAACCTGCTCAAGGAGCGGAACGAAGTATGGCCACGGCCGCGTAGCGCCTCCAGAACTAGCAGGGACGGCACCAGTACCCCAAGTAGCAGCACTAGCGTCACCCGCACATCCAGCTCCAACAGCGTCAGCTCCAGCACCCTCAAACGCACCAGCGCCAGTAGAAACACCAGCGCCAACACCCCCAGCAGCTCCACCTCCAGCAGCTACAGCAACACCAAATCAGCAGAACCGGTAGCTCCAACACCGCGTGCAGCTTCAACAGGACCAACTCCAGCAGCTCCAACAGCACCCCCAGTCCCAGCAGCTCAAGTACCACCAGTACGAGCACCTCCGGAACCAGCAGCAACAATAGTGCCTCCAGCTCCAGCAGCAGGACTCCAGCGCCGGGCAAACCACTCGCGCAGCTCCTGCGGAGAGAGTGGCTCCCGCCTCGACGAAGCACCGCCGTCGGCCACACGAGCAGACCCAGGGCCCCCAGGCTTCGCACCCCCAGGCTCCACACCCCCAGACTCAGCATCCCCAGGCTCAGCACCCCTAGTCTCAGCACCCCCAGGTTTAGCACCCCCAGGCTCAGCACCTCTAGACCCGGCACCCGCAGGCTCAGCACCTCTAGCAGCACAAGAGTCAACAGCTACATCGACAGGCTCGATTGCGTCTACCTGGGACACACCTGACGGGGCAGGACCCTGAGGGGGGAGGGGGTCTACCGGGGGAGGACCTGGCACAAGGAAGAGCGGCGGCGGGGGAAGGGGTGCAGCGCGGTAGGGGAAGAGACGGTAGTAAGGCACCGACTCGTCAAAGGTGACGTCCTGGGAGGACAGAACACGGCGCGAGGTGGGGTGGTAAAACTGCTAACCAGGCGCGTCAGGGGGGAAGCCGAGGAAGACGTAGGGAACAGTCTGGGGGGACAGCTTGTCCGCAGACAAGTCGTGGACAAACGCCAGAGATCCCCAGACCCGAAACGCAGATGCATCGCCAACCTTCACCGTCCACCGCAAGGTATCTGGCAAGGAGACCTAAGGCTGAAGGTTGAGCTGATGCGCCGCGTACCGAACCGCAAACGGCCACAGAAAATGGGAGGCAGCCGGATGGATCATGGACGTACAAGCGACGTCCATGACCATGCCGATGCGGCACTCAGCAATCCCATTTTGCTGTGGAGAGGCCGGAAGCGTGAAGGTGTGGCGGACGCCCTGTGCACGAGAGAAGGCTCCCAGACGGGCAGAGGAAAACTCCCCGCCTCTGTCCGTGTGCACACGTAGAACAGGAAAGTCGGAGCCGAAACTCTCTCTGAGCTAGTGAGGAGGGCGCGGATCCAGTCGATCAACACCTCAGCGACGTCACCCTTGCTGCGCAAGGGAAAGACTGTGGTGTAACGCGAGTAGTCGTCAACCACCAGCAGGAAGTACCGCTCGTGTCCTTGCCCACGGACGCGGGCGGGGCCCCACACGTCCATGTGGAGGGTCTGTAGCGGAGCCTCTGTCGGAGGAAACTCAGAGGAGTGAGGGGCGGCGCGCTGTCGCCCCTCGACGCAGGGGACGCACATAGGGCCAGGCCCCGGAGGAAGGGGAGGGAGAGACCGAGGGAGACCACAGACAACGACATGGGAGGCCATGCCTCGGAGACGAGGCAGGGAGGGGTGACCAAGGCGGTGGTGCCAGAGGAGAGTCTGGTGGGACAGGAGACGACACGAGCAGGGAGCAGACTCAGGACCTGACCTGGACGCTGCAGCAAACACCTGACTCGACGCAGCTACCTGGCCAGACTCAGCAGCCGGAGGAGACTCAGTAGTAAGGGTGTACAGGCTCTACCCTGGCCGACGGGTGAACGTGGCCAAGTGTCGGCCTGTCCGAGCACACGTGCAGTGGGTCAATCGCTGACTCGCAGGAGTGAACTGGACAACCCCCCTATCTTGTAGGTCCGCTCCACTCACCAAGTTCGTAGAGAACAAGGGGAGGTAAAGACCAGACAGGGTGCCAGAGGGGGCTGCCGGGCACGGTAAGACAGTGGAGAAGCTAGTAAGGACAGGACCCCCAGAGGGGTCCGCTAGGGAGACTGCAAACGGCCGACTGAGCAACGTAAGAGTGGTGCAGTCTCGAAAGAAGGAGCAGGATGCACCCGAGTCAAGGGTGAAGGTGTGTATGGCCTGAGCCGACGTAGTACCTGAGAGAGCAGACTCACCAGCACCTAGGGCAGCAGACGCACTAGCACCTGGGGCAGCAGACACACTAGCACCTAGAGCAGCAGCCTCACCAGCACCTAGAGCAGTGGCCTCAATGCCCGGGTCAGGCGCTACACACAGGTGACAATCACCCTTAACAATAATAGTCATAGAATACATGGCAGCAAGGATAGCATCATAGTCAAGATCAAAGATGGCAACCCCCACCCTAGACAGATCTCCCCAGCGAGGGATCTCTGACGCCTCAGGGAACCGGCGACGCCACGCGTCCGTCAGGCGACGGAAGCAGCGCTGGGTGGAGTGCGGGTCCCTGCATTGCTCACCAGCTTGGTCGCCGGTACGGAGGACGTAAATGGAGGGAGCAGTACCCCCACCGCGTTGATGCGCAGCGTACCACTCACGAAGCTGCTGAGGGGACAGGGTCACACCACTCCGCTGCTGCTGGCGCGGACCACCACCTGACCCACTCCTCTGCGTAGAGTCGCGACCCGCTCCACCACCGCCGCCGCCTCCGCCGCCTCCTCCACCTCCGCCTCCTCCGCCACCTCCGCCGCCTCCGCTCCCTCCGCCACCACCGCCGCCTCCTCCGCCTCCACTGCTGCCGCCGCCGCCGCCACCCCCGCCACCACTCCCACCACCACCCCCACCCCCTCCACTGCCTCCACCACCACCTCCACCACCCTCGCCAGCCCCTCCAGCGCCCTTGTCCCCCTTGCCCTTGCCGGTGCGGCGTCTCCCGCTAGGGCCAGACGCAGCGCCGACTTACTGGAAACCAACGAGGTCGGCCACATCAGCAAAAGCAACAGAGGGCAAGAGGGGGGAGGGGGGACACCCCTCAAAGACGGGGGTGCGAGGGTCACCACGAGAGGCTCCTACAGCGACTATGCTCTTTTCTGCTGCTAGGAGGCCCATCTCGAGGAGGTCAATGGTGAGAATGGTGGGGCAAACTGAGAGGAAGTGGTCCCTGACTACGCGGAGAGAGTCAGGGAGCCGGGTGACTATGTAGTAGAGGGTGATGTACATGGGGGGGGGTTCTTGGCGCAGAACTCAGCAGGAAGCGCAACGTGGTAGCGAGTGTCACTAGTGTGGAGGTGCGTAATGAGGTCAGCGACTGTGGGAAAGGCAACAAGGTCAGGGAAGAGGTACGGTAGCATGAGGCGGCTCAGTGCAGCAGTGGCAGGGGAAGAGTAGCGTGCAACTATAGCGTCGTACAAGGTGTGAGCACTCTTGTACTAGCTAAAGTGTGCACGCTCAGTGGTCGATAAGTGGTGACGCACAGCAAGACGGGCAGCAGCATCGCGTGTCGCCCATTGTGAGCGAACAGTGCTGTCAGCAGTAGCAGGCGGGGCAGGGGAGGCACCAGAGGTGAGGTCGAACAGAGAGAGGCCGTCTGCCCTATCGCACTGGAGGAACAGCTGGAGGTCATCGACCCAGACCTCAAAGTCAACGGCACGGCCCTCAGCATCAAAAGTAAGGACATTGGGGGTAGCCATGACTGCAGTGGCCTAGTAGGGAGTGAGCTCACCAGTAGGAACAGCAGGGGATCGAAGTAGTGCGGCTCGGCGGCTGGGCGGCTCGGCTGCTGGGCGGCTCGGCGGCTCGGCTGCTCGGCGGCTCGGCTGCTCGGCGGCTGGGCTGGTTGGCGGCTCAGCTGCTCGGCAGGTGGGCGGCTCGGCTGCTGGGCGGCTCGGCTGTTCGGCAGGTGGGCGGCTCGGGCGCTAGGCGGCGCGGCTGCTGGGCGGCTCGGCTGCTGGGCTGCTCGGCGGCTCGGTCGCTGGGCGGCTGAGCGGTGACAGGGCCGGTAGAGGCGGCGACGTGGCCGCTAGGGGAGGGCGACGGGGCCGCAGGTGACGGCAACGGGGCCGCAGGTGGCGGCGAGGCCGTAGGTGACGGCGACGGGGCTGCAGGTGATGGCGACGGGGCCGCAGGTGGCGGCAACGGGGCCGCAGAGGGGCCGCAAGGGGCCGCAACGGGGCCGTAGAGGGGCTGCAAGGGGCCTGGACGGGGCCGTAGAGGGGCCGCACGGGGCCTAGACGGGGCCGCAGAGGGGCCGCAAGGGGCCTGGACGGGGCCGCAGAGGGGCCGCAAGGGGCCTAGACGGGGCCGTAGAGGGGCCGCAAGGGGCCCAGACGGGGCGACGATGGGGCCGTAAGGGGCCTAGACGGGGCGGCGACGGGGCCGTAAGGGGCCTAGACGGGGCGGCGACAAGGCCGTAAGGGCGCCGCGAGGGGAGGCGACGGGCGTCGCGGGGGGGCCGTAAGGGGCCGTAAGGGCGGCGCGAGGGGCCGTAGAGGGCGGCGCGAGGGGCCGTAAAGGGCAGCGCGAGGGGCCGTAAGGGCGGCGTAAGGGGCCGTGAAAGGGGCCGCTAAAGGCGACGCGACGGTAGGGAGGGCACACAGAGCGCGACTCGGGTAGGAGCGAAGCGCGCTCCGGGCAGGAAAAAAATATCGTGGTGGGCCCTAGGAATCGTTCCCACTAGGGAACCTGCTCGATACCATGATAAGAAACGAGGAATGAATGCATTGAGCAGAATGAGGAGTACAAGTAGTAAACCCTAAAGTGTTGTACCCCATATGAATTGCCCCACTACAGCCTACACAGACTATAGCATATATGCCTGATAGCGGAGTCGCGAGATGGTTGGGTGCAGGTTTGGGGTTGGGAAACCCGAAGGCGACGGGAGGGACGTTCGGGAGGCGAGGTCAGCGGACCGAGCCTGAACTCCGAAAAGTTGGAATTGTACGCGTACGGAGTGCCTCTTATTGTACAAGTGATAATAGATGTGGTCTGGTGAATTCATGGTGAAGCTGACAACCATGCCGCCGCGCCCTCTCGCTGCCCTGCGCCATCACCACCGCCGACTTCTGCCTCTCGCGCTCTCGTCGCTCCAAAGTCACGTTCAAGCTACAGCCGCCGCTCCGCATCTCTCGCTGAGAGCTCTTATTCCGCTGCATCCCGTCCCGGCCTTACCGAGCGGCGTCGCGCACATGCTTGAAACTGGAGTCGCGGCCACGTTGCTCGAACCGCATATCGTGTCGCCATTCCACGCCGTACAATCGCGCCTCGCTCTGTCTCCCTCGCCGCAACTCCTCGCTCAGCCGCAGCCGTGGCGCCGTGACGAGCCACCGCGCTGCCCGCCGCGTCACCCCTTGCCTCCTCTTGCGGCCTCGCCCCTCGTAGGCAGTGCGAGTGGACGGCTGCGATCGGTGGCTGCGGGCGAGAGCCGTGTGATCGCGCGTAGTCGCACGAGGAGCTTCGCCCGCAGCAGTGCCGGCGGCACTGACCAACGGAGTGGCGGACAGAACAGCGAGGCGCGATTGGAAGGCGAAAGCTGGGGTGGTAACCACACGGAGCGAGGTGGCAAGGCGAAGGCGCATGCGATGGAGGAGTACCTGCGGCGGTTTGTGGACTACGAGCAGCAAGGCGTGCCCAACGGTGCTGCTGCCGCTGCTGACGCCGCGGCCAAGGCGGGTGCAGGCCTGGCGGAGGGCGGTGCGCGTGCGGGCGAGCAGAGGAGGGCAGGCGAGGAGCGGTTCGACCTGCAGCGCATGCAGCGGCTGATGGGCGCCCTAGGGTCGCCCGTGTCGCAGTACAAGGTGATGGTGATGGGCGCGCAGGGGGGGAGGGAGCACGGGCGATGCAGGGGAGGGAGGGTAAATTGGTGTGGAATAGAAGGCAAATGATGAGGCGGGATGGTGGGAAGTGGGGGAGTGGTGATGGTTTGTTTGAGGGATAATGTGCATGTGCGTGGAAGGTGATCTGCGCAATGCTGTGCATGGTGCGAGTCCTCACATCACACACCGCGCATCTCAACTGCACAAGCTTGCGCAGCACAGCACGGAGCGCCTTGGTGCGATTGTGCTGCTCTTGCAACGTTGTGCTCATGTGCGGTGCGTGTGTGCGTGTGTGTGTGTGCGCGCGCGTGTGCGTGTGTGCGTGCGTGTGGAGGCGTGCGCGTGGAGGCGTGTACGTGTGCGCATGCGCGCGCGCGCGTGTGTGTGTGTGTGTGTGTGTGTGTGTGTGTGTGTGTGTGCGTGTGTGTGTGTGTGTGTGTGTGTGTGTGTGCGTGCGTGCGTGCGTGTGTGTGTGTGCGCGCGCGTGCGTGTGCGTGTGCATGTGTGTGCATTGGCCATGTGCATGTGTGAGCGTGCATGTGCGTGTGAGCATGGCAGGTGGTGCATGTGGCGGGCACCAAGGGCAAGGGCTCCACCGTGCATTTCATTGCCAGCATTCTGCGTGCGGCAGGCCTGGCTGTGGGCACGTACACCAGGTGCTGCACTGCCATGCCTCAACCACAACCGCCCATCCACCTGCTCATCATGAGATTAACCTGGGCTTAATAATCGAAGCTGGTATGAAGGCCCTAAGAGCACCAAGTATTTTGCTGTTCTGTGCTGCCTCTGTCGCGGCGCGGCTGCGCTTCTCTGGGGCAGTGTGTGTGCCGTGCCAGTGCCACGCCACCTTCAATGCTACCACACACCGCCGCTGCTTTCCTTTCACCCCAACCACAACTGCCCCTCTTTCCCCATTCTTCCCGCCCACCTTCCCCTCCCGCCTGCCCGGTGCACGTGCACGCCCCCCTCCATGCGGCGCTCATGTGCTCTCACCACTGCGTGCCTGCCCTGCTCGTGCGCCTGCGCTGCGGTGGGAGGGGGCGGGCAGTCCGCACGTGGTGAGGCTGAACGAGCGCATCGTGGGCCCCACGGGGCAGCCGGCCAGCGATGCACAGCTGGCGGCACTGGTGGCACGCCATGGCAGCACAGTGGACGCCGTGTGGCACGACGAGAAGCGCCGGGGGGGGGTGCTCTCACACTTTGAGGTGCCACTCATGTCAAGTGGTGTGGTGTGGGGTGGGGAGTGGAGTGGGGTGCTCTCTCAACCCTGTGTGCCCATCTGCCACCACTGCTCCCACAGTTCCTCACCCATGACTGTCCCTCTCCACTCCACCCTCCTTTGCCACTCACTCCTCAAATCGCGCACGCCTGTAACTCGCTGCGCGTCCCCCCTGTGCGTGTGCGGTGGCAGGTGCTGACGGCGCTGGCGTTCACGTTCTTCGCGCAGCAGAGGGTGCAAGTGGCCGTCGTGGAGGTACCCTCGGGTGGGCTTGCGTGCACACATGACCTCGCGGGGTGCGAGTGTGATTGGAAGCGGGGGGTTGGTACTGTGGTGCCATGAGGGACGAGTTGCCGCACATGACGCCTCCCATGCAAACGCACCACCCTTCTCCTCTCTTGCCGTCTGCTCATTCCCAACTGAAATCCGTGACCTACAAGTGTCTAGTATGAGTGTGTGCATCATGGCTGCCTTGCCACCTCCTGTGCCCCTCCGTTGTGTTCCCACGGCACGTGTGAGGGCAGGTGGGGCTGGGCGGGGTGTGTGACGCCACGAACGTGATCCCAGCGGGCAGCCTGGCAGCGGCCGTGATCACGGGCATTGGCATGGACCACGTGGGCGCACTGGGGGGGTCGCTGCACAGCATCGTGCGCGCCAAGGCCGGCATCATGCACGCCTCCACCCCGGTATGCTCACATGGGCTGGTGGGGCTTGTTGGGGGGGGTGGGGGGGGGGGGGAGGGGGGAGAGGGGGAAGAGCAGGCAGGGCAGGGTGTGATTTGTCAGAGCGCACATAAGCCACTCTCTACTCCTCAAACAGGGTACACTTATCTTGCTAGTATCTCAATATATCTTTGCAGGGCCCTTCCCTATAAGTCGCACTAATAATCTCCGCGGTTCTCAGGCTCCACAAGCCTTCATGTTGCCAGAGTGCCATGTGTTGACAGTGCGTGCAACCCCCTCGCCTCTGCCTCGCAGGTGGTGATCGCCCCCCAGCCGCACCCCACGGTCCTCCCACAGCTGCTCTCACTCGCCCAACGCCTGCACTGCCCCACCGTGCTTGTTGCTGCGCCTCACAGCAGCGCCAGCAGTGCCAGCAGCAGGCAGGGCAGCACCGTGCTGCGTGGTGCCGCCAGTAGCAGCACGTCGGCTGAGCTGCCCCCTCCTTGTGCTGGCCAGGGCAGGGCGGGCGAATGCAGTGAGAGCAGGCAGGGGGCGCACGGGGCAATTGGCCCTGCACACGCGGAGGGGATGACGGCAGAGGGGGGACAGTGGGGGGACGGCAGTGGGGCATGGGCGGCACAGGGAGGGGTGCAGGCAGGCGTGGAGTGGTGGGAGAAAGGTGTGGTCATGGTTGCCCACAGCACAGAGGGCGAGCAGGAGGGGCGTGAGAGCGAGAGTGGTGGGCGGCGCATTGTATCGGTGGTTGACTTTGCCGTGGACATGGCAGCACTCTCTTGCCAGCCCCACGCCTGCAAGGTGCGTGCCTTGCTGCACGTGTGCCAGGAAAATCAGGCACCATTGTGGCTGTGGAATTTCCTATGACACGAGAGAATCTCAATGTTGAAGTATTAGAGCATCACACCAGTGTTGCCATCATTGTATCGGCCCTGCCCCCACGTGCCGCCCGTCGTCCCGTGCACGAGAGCAGGAGCAGCTGAGGGGCGTGCATGTGGGCATGGTGGGTGCGCACCAGGCGGCCAACGCCGCCACAGCGGTGGGTGTGGCGCTGCTGCTGCGCCACACACTGGGCGCCATGGGCAGCGCCATCACACCCACCGCTGTGCGCCACGGGCTGCTGTGCGCCCCGCTGCCAGGCCGCTTCCAGGTGCTGCGACCGGCGCAGGTGCGCTCACTCAGACGCACTGTGCTGGGGGGCACAGGAGGTGGATGGGTGGATGGCGGAGAGGGGAAGCAGGGAGAGGAAGGGCGGGGAGGGGAGGGAGAGTGTGGCGGAGGGCGAGGGAGCGAGGAGAGGGAAGCGGAGGTGGTTGTGGTTCTCGATGGAGGTGTGCCCTGCCCTGCCTCTCCTCTCCTTGCTGCCTCCTCTATCACTCACATGCCTCCCTTCTCCTCACTCACCTCTTGCTGTACCTGCTCCACTGCACCTCCTTCTTTCCAGCCCTCCCCTTGCACTCCCTGCCCTTGCACTCCCTGCCCTTGCACTCCCTCCCCTTGCACTCCCTCCCCTTGCACGCGCTGATGACTCCGCATCTACATCCTTCCGGCCTTGTCCCAATGCAATGCGCTGCTACTCCCCCACGGGCCCCATGCATGGGTGCAGCGCACACGGGTGACTCTGCGGCAGCACTGGCCAGCACGCTGCTGCAAGTCTTTGGCGCGCCTGCCACCGACCCCGAGCTCTCTGCTGCTGGGCAAGCCAGCGCCAGAGAGTGTGGGGATGCAGGAGTTGGCCAGGGCGAGGCCGGGGTGAATGGTGGTGCCACGGGAAGGAGCAGTGCGGATGTGGGTGTGCAGTATGTGTTTGTGGTTGCCATGGCAGCTGACAAGCAACACCACGACTTCTGCTCTGCGCTCTTCTCAGGTGGGCCCTTGTTCTTCTCCATTGCACCCACTCCTTCCTTGTCTCTTGTGCAAGTCGTCCACGCCTGCTGTGTTGCATGGCAACTGTGGGAGCAGCAGCGCGCATGGATGTGGCCTGCGTGGTCTCCTGCTCACCTTGTCTCACCTTCCTTTCCACATTGCATCCCTCCCATTTTTTCATATCCAGGTCTCCCAGCAGCAAGCGTGCACATGCATGCATGCCCCATGCCTTGTCCCGTACCAACACGTCTTGCGTGCCACCCGTTCCCAATCCATCCCTCACGCCACCTTGCCTCCCCCCTCCCTTGTGCTTCCCCCTTGGCAGCCATCCCGCCAGCAGCAGTGGTGTGCACGGCAGTGCCCATCGCAGCGGCATCGCAGCGGGCCATGGCCCCCGCCGCACTGCGCTCCATTGCACAGGCCCACCTGCCATCCACGCCTTCTCCCCCCGGGGACCGCGCACTGCCACGCGTCTCTGCGCTGCCTGACCTGCGCTCTGCGCTCGCAGCCACCCTTGCCTGGTCCTCCACAGGGCTGCCTGTCCGCCTCGGCAGCTCGCCTGAGAGGGAGTGGCTGTGCCCAGGGGAACAAGATCGAGAATGCAACACACAGGGGGCTTGGGGAGTTAGTGAGCTAAAAGGAAAGCGCTCTGCGGGTAGACGGAGGAGGGAAAGAGTGGTGGTATGCGTTACAGGGTCGTTGCATGCAGTGGGTGCTACTTTGGGCCTACTACACACTTGACGTGATAGAAGAAATGCCGCCATTGCTGGGATAGAAGAGATACTGTCGTACCGCAGACCAGATATGCCACAGTAAGCGTAAAGGGGGGAGAGGGAGAGGAGGTTGAGGGTGGGGGGTAGGGGGGTGAGGGAGAGGGGTGCGAATGGTAACATCTATAAGCGCATGGGACAAATGAATGGCTGGCACATATCGCTCCCCCCTAGATATACCGGTAGGCGCAGGCGCGCTTATAATAAAGCATGTATGTCATACTAGAAAGGCGAAGCCGAACGGAAACGTTTTGTAGAACATACCATGTCACCCCGGATATAGGCGCAGGTAGGCTTATAATGAAACGGTGTTTTTTAGGGGGGTGCACTTTTAATTGAGTCGAATTGATAAGCGCATGCGCCTGCAAAATGGTAAAAACGAAATTCAATTTTGAACATACCAAACTGAAGCTCGCAACAAGGCGAACACAGGAGTGTGAATTTGCCCGCAATTACCGGGAATCTCAGATTCCTGCGGTGCCAGCACTCCATTCGGCAGTTTCGCTGCAGCATAAGCGTTGGCTAATCAGAATGTGGCAACCATGTGGTGCTGGAGGGCTGCGAGGGTTCCTGCACCGTTGACTGTGCTGGCGAGCTCTGATGGTCCCGTTCCCTCCAATCTAATCTCTCTTGTTTCTTTTCCTCCTGTTTCTCTCTCCCTCCCTCTCAGCCAGATTCCTCTCGTGCTTTCTCGTCTGCACTATTACATGGCGCCACCAGCACCAGAAACGGCGGGCTGTCTGGAATCGAACCCATCGCGAGCGCCGCCGAACCTCCTCTAGTCTCGCCGAACACATCGCTCCCGTTCGACGCGATCCGCAGCGCATGCGTCGTCGAATCGTAGCGGGCCTGCGAGATGCCCGTCGGCGTCGCAGGCCCGCTACGACTCGACGACGCGTGGTTTTTCGTGCTAATGGCGACGACCGAAGGCTGCCTCGTCGCCAGCACGAACCGCGGTTGAAAGGCCATCTGCGTCGCGGGCGGCGCGCATAGCGTCGTGCTGCGCGACGGCATGACCCGCGCATGACCCGCGCGCCCACCGTCCATTCCCCCGCTCCCTTTACCCCGCACTCCGTCCACTCCCTGTCTCCCCCGGTCGTTCCCCCCCCAACCATGCCAGTCTTCCCTCCTCTCTCCCTCCTGTTCTCTCTTTCCCTGCCTCACCCTACCTGTCAATCAGGTTCCTCCCCCAAACCCTGCCCCTGCAGCTTCAACGTGTATGTGTCGCAAGCAGAAGTGAAGACGGGGTGTGTGCTGCAGCAGAGCACTGTCACGTACTGGTGTCCCAAGCTGAGGATGAGAGAGAAAAACCAAAGGCTAAGGGCAGTGATGATAGCACGGCTGGTGATGATGTCAGAATATTATCTTATTGTTCTAGCCTGTAGTGGGGTGCTCTATAGCGAGTACAACCCTTCTAGGGTTTGCTATTTGTATCCTCATTCTTGCTAGTTCAATCCTCTTTTCTTCTTCTAATTTTGACAGATGATTCATGAGGCATGTTAGCTTAGCAATGTTTCGGAAGGCCGCTACTGACCTATTAATTAAAATAGAGATTTCTAGTAATAACAGCCTTTTATATTATTGAACACTGATGCATCAGCCTTTTTTCAAAGGCAACACTGATATTTCAGGCTTTTTTTTTTAGGAACACTGTCAATCAGGGTTTCTACATAGGGGTACCCTGATGGGTCGACGACCCTAAAAGTGAATCTGAGGCCCTGAACACAGCGGAACAACGTTCACATGGGATCCCACAGCACATCTGAGTCTAGGCCTAATTTTTTCAATATAAATCACCCTGATACCCTGATAATCAGGGTGGTTTTTGGTAGTCACACTGATGCCTAAGGGTATTCTTTTCTGGAGCTTAGATTTTCCTGATATGCCGGGGTTTGTGTTTAAGGCACACTGTGGCACCAGGGTTACCGTTCTCCTTAGAGAGTTTTAACCTGAAGCGCGTACCACCCCCCCCCCCCCCCCCCCCTTGTTGGGCTGAGTGCCCCATAGGATCTTTGGTAGGGTTAAAGTCTGAGTAAAGTGATGTAGTAGCGGAAGCGTTTAAGTGAAGTTCTTGAACCACCTTGCGCTGGTATGTGAGGGCAAAGTAAGTTGTTTAAAGCAAAGAGATACAAGATTATATACGAATACAGAGAATATGAAGAGACATAGCTATAACTACTTTACTGTTGCTGTTGCGGTTCGATACAGTGCGACTCGGGCAACTGCTCAATGTCGAGTCAGTTGTGTGACCTTGCTGTCGCGCTGCATTTGTCAGGTCAAAGGTCGTTGACCTTTGACTTTCGCGTAACCTCCAGCGGTTACATCAACCTCCGAGGGTTGACTCGTTGGTGCCTCGATATGCTCTGCTTCGCTTGAGCCTTGGTGTTTCGACACGACAGAGGCGCTTAAGATTGTTTGTTCCCAACACTCCCCTTCGCTTCTGGAGTGTCGCTGATGGTGACGTGGCTTTGTCCAGTCAGCAGCATGCAGTACTCGAACTTCCGTTTTCCGAGCTTCTTGGTCAAGTAGTCAGCTGCCATCTCGGACGTGGGACAGTAGGATAGTTCAAGTTTCCCCTTCTCGATCTCGTCTTTCACGAAGAAATATCGCAGAGCGATATGCTTCGTTCTGTTCGCGATGCGAATTGCAGATTGGTTGTCGCAGAACAGAGTGAAGTTGGGTAACTCGGCTAACTTCGCTTCTTCCAGCAGCTCGCGAAGATAGAGTTCTTCCTTGGTGGCTGAGCAGAGTGCAATATATTCTGCTTCAGCTGATGAGAGAGCAATTAATTCCTGCTTACTCGATTTCCAGGAGATCGGTCCGATAGGTTCGAGGTGGTAGATGTAGCCAGTGCGGGAGCGCCTATTGTCTGAGTCGCCAGCGTGATCAGCATCGACGTAGCCGATTAATTTAGTCGGTGTAGTTGTGTTCTTGTAGTAGGTTAGGCCGATCGTTGAGGTACTGACGAAGTAGTGGAGAGCGCGGTCGAGCTCCGCCAGGTGTTCTGCTTCAAGCCTTTTGAGGTAGGTGACGAGCTGGCTTGCGGAGTAGGATAGATCTGGGCGGGAGGTGACGGCTGCGAAGAGAAGGCAGCCCAACTTTCTCTGGTAGTCGCGTATCCCGACGGATTTGAGTAGAGAGGGTCCTTCCTTGTGGTTTCCTGTCGTGTAGCGGTAGGGCGTAGAGATGGTGGTAGGTGTGAGCGCGAAGCGTTTGGCGATGGTGTCGGCGTACTTAGCGGCGTTGAGGTAGATCGCGCCTTCTTCTTCCCGAATGTTTAAGCCAAGGTACTGTGTGACGGTAGAGGAGACTGTGAGTGTGAGGTCCTTCTGTAGCTCCCCTTCGAACCAGGTGGTGATGTCGTCAGTAGAGCCGATGTAGAGTAGGTCGTCTACGTAGACGATCAGCAGAATGTAGTCGGTGTCTTTAGTGAGTCGGTACATTCCTTGGTCGTGAGGTAGTTGGCGGAATCCGATGCGAGTGAGGCGAGCGTGTAGGTACTGTTGCCATAGCCGCGGAGCTTGCTTGATCCCGTAAAGTGATTTCAGCAGTTGACAGACTTGGTTAGGTTCCCCGTTGGTACCATGTGGGAGCTCGACGAAGATTTCCGCGTCGACAGGTACGTAGAGGAACGCGTTGGCGACATCGATTTGCCGTAGCTTTCTTTTCTTCATGGCGGTGATCGCCAGGAGGATTCGAAGTGAGGTATGTCGGCTAACCGGGGCGAATGTCTCGGTGAAGTCCCGTCCGTGCTCCTGATCGAATCCACACACAACCCAGCGTGCTTTGAACTTCTCAATTGTGCCGTCTGCTTTTGTTTTAACGCGGAAGACCCATTTCCCGGTGAGAATGGTCTTGTTCTTTGCCACGCTGATGGGGACAACTTTCCAGGTGTTCCGTTCCTCCAGCGTCTTTAACTCTCTGTCCATGGCTTCACGCCATTTTTTCCCGTGTTCCCCCCCAAGAGCCTGCTGAACCGTTGCACGCTCCTTAGGGAGAGTGTTGCCGTGGACTGCGGTGACGAGTCTGAGAATCTGCAGTCCAGTTTGTGAGTAGCGGGGAAGAGTTACGTCCTCGGGATAAGCTGCTTCATCTCCCGCTTCTGGATCGGATATGAAATTTGGTCCTATTCGTTCTGCTTCATTGGTGTTGACTGTCGCATGTGTTATGTAACCGTTGTCGGCGAAGTGGTAGAAGGTTTCGGCGTTGGCGCTTTCGCGAGGGTTGTCTTCGTCCATGGGAACGTTGACGGAGCAAAACGGGAGAGGTCCGGCTTCTTCTGATGCGTTGTCCACATTTTGCGCATCCCAGTCTGCTTCGTCCGCTGATGAGGCGAAGGCTCGGTCACCACGAAGACCACCTGTGGGATCTTCATTTTCTTGCAAGTTGGTAAGGTACATCTGGAGCGTGAGCCGTTCGTAGAAAATTACGTCACGTGCTGCTACTGTTTCCTTGGAGTGGACGTCGAAGATTTTCCACGCGTGGTAGTTCTTTTCGATGCCCAGGTGTAGTCCCCACTGTGCTCGTTGAGAAAATCGGCCCGCTCGCGCTTCTGGGGGTCGGTACTGTACCATGCACCCGAAAACCCGTAACATTTTTGTGCTGCCCTGTTTCCCTGTCCATAGCAGATGCGGTGACGCGTTGTTCGGAAGTGAAGACGACGACAGCAAATTGTGCAGCATGACAGCGTGGTCCATTGCTGCAGGCCACTGGTGGTTGGGTAGCCGCATGCCACGTAACAGTTTGCGCATGCTGTTCTGCAAGGTCCTGTTCATTCTTTCGACTACTCCTTGCTGCTGATGGGCGTAGGGAAGGGAGATGAGCTGCTTGATTCCCCTTTCCGCCAGGTACTGCTTGAATCGCTGAGAAGTGTATTCTGCCCCTCCGTCTGACTGGAAGCTTTTCAGTTGTACGCCCGACTCTCTCTCTGCTACTGGTAGCCAGGCAACGAAGGCTGCGAGTGCCATGTCG